AAGCCCTTCCCCCTTGGATCCAGCGCCAGCCACGGCACACGCAGCCATCTCCAAGTGGTGGGCGAAAAAGCACCCAGCTGCCCGGGGTGAGCGCCTTTTATAGACGGGGAACGAGGTTGGGGGATGGTGGGGGCTTCTGCGGGGGGTGTTACCTCTCCCTCTCCCAGCTTCTTGCAGCCACAGCCCCCACCTCTACCCACCCCCACAGCTCCACCGGTGCAGGGCTGGGGCAGGGGCTCAGCAAAGCGCTGAATCACCTCTGCACACAGACAGGTGCCAGGCAGGCGGCTCAGACTGCTTGAGACATTTGTTTAGTCCCTTACAGATGTCCTTGCCCATGGCAGGGGGGTTGGAACTAAATGATTTCTAAGGTCCCTTCCAACTCTAACAATTCTATGATTCTATGATATACACATTAACTAATACCAACTGGACTAAGTAAACCATTAGCTGAAGAGGATGCATCGGTGCACAGAATAACTAAAAATGTTGGTATCTCAGAAGCAAGCTCTATCACTGTTCTAAGCTGACCTAATAATTTCTAGGCAATCTTTTCCCTGTTTCTCAAAGGTTAATTCCAAAATCTACAAGTTTAGCAGCTGCTGAGAAAACCTGTAAACAATCTTTCTGTTTGCTTTTCCTCAGTATTTTAAAGAACTGCACTTTATGTTATGTGTCTCCACAGGTTGGTATTATTCACATCCATTCTTGGTTTCTTTTGGTTTTGTCAATGATTTCATGCTGTTGTTTTCCTGGACTCTAGCACCTGCACCATCCCAGTGCTTGGAATGATGTTAAGAAAACACCAGCCTACTTGCTTTTGAGATATATCATTATGACACATTTGGGCTACGAAGACCTAAGAAATTCACCAAGAAGGCGAAGAGGTCTACATGTGTTCATCTCATTGTAACAAGTGGAATGCAAACACTCTACCTCTTACTATGCACAACAAAAACTGCCAGGCACTTGTAGCACTCACTTAAATGAAAGACAAGGCCCAGTCCTGAAAACTGCAGGCTTACACAAAACTTATTTCAGCTTTCCAGGCAGATTTGAAAATATTAATATGATTTTTTATAAGAGACATGAAATAGCAGAGCTTAAGTCAGATTCAGCTTTGTTACATTATGTTTTTAAATGCAAATTAATTTTTTCTTTTTTTAACATACTTCTTTTCATGAGACTTGGAAAACTATTTTTTTTAATGTAGTAACCATATTTTATGGGAGATAGATAACCATTATTTAGGCTATGCTTACACGAAGAGAAAGATGAGGCTTGATGTGGATCATGTATCTGAAAAGAGTAGGAATGATCAGGCTGTTTTTTAAGAAAACTGGTATCTGGAGCAGTGATTTTTATCTGTCTAACAGGGAAAATTTGCTACTATCAGAATAGAACTACCTACCTTTACAGGAGGTGTCATATCAAACCACAGAAGACAGATCCTAATGTCTCCCAGCTTGAATCTCTGAGCACTTGTATTTGTCAAGAGTAAATATTAAGCTTTGAATAGTCTGATTTTTAAAACAGGTTTTAACTTTTGTGGCCTTTAATTAAAAGCTCCTAAGGTATCTTTTACTTAACACAACCTACCTTGGGTTTGTTAACTAAAAGTGAAAAACACTATAAAAATACAAATCTTGCTTAAGATGATTTATAGTTGCGAAAGTATATCGTAATAAAGAACCCAACTTGAGAAGCCAAATGCATGCAAGTTTAAAACACTTCGTTTTCCATAATGAGAAATACAGGAGGGCTTTTTGTCCAAGTTGCTAATAGAGACAATTTTAAATAGTCTTTTCTTACAATAAGAGCACTTAAAACTACTTAGCTCTTTTCAGTTCCCCCCGGATGAATATTGACTGAATAACTACAGCTATAATCTTTTCAGTCTCTTTACAAAAGTTTTCTGCAGCATTGTGTCGTTAAGACAGAGCTTACTGTATGCAACACGCCTATAATTCAATTGTACTTAATGGCTCCTACCTACTTCACTTTACCCATTTTCCTTCATATTTGGAATTTCATGAATGTTTTGTCACATACATTCATGAAACAGGTGACAAATAGAACGTCAAATTTTCACCTGTATACATAAAGATACCCATCTTAATGGTAAAAATACAGGAAACATCCAGATGCCTACGAGTAAAAAAAAAAAAAAATCTTTTAAAGAAAATTATTTTTTATTTAAAGTCTATGTCTTAAGCGCTGTGACAAAGTATAGTTTGAAATCTGAAGTATGTTTGCCCCTCATTCTGCCCACCCTCCAAATAAATGAGCCAGTTTTGTACATATCTACAGTATTTAATAAAGATGTCCAAACTAGTCAAAGTTTTTACATAAATGCTGCAGCGCTTAGAAAGAAACATTTAATTTGCTCTCACTCAGACAGCAAAATTAAATGGAAACATAGCAGTCTTCTGATGAAAGAATGCAATAATCCATTTCTCTTTGTGGGGAAAGGCAGTATCTTAATACACTGACTTAACAAAACCAACAATTTAATTCAAGAACCCAATAACTCTGTTCTTATTTAAATGCTTAAATGTTTGCCACTTAATTATACCTGATGGATAATTAATCAGCACTTCTTTTGGAGTCTGAAATAGTTGTGGGTTTTTTTTGCAAATTCTCAGAAGTTCTTCAATATGGTTTTCTATAAATTCTTTGGCTACATACATTAAGGAAGTTAAATACACATGAAAACTACTACCTACAAGTACCTTTAAAATAGTACACATTTACAGATTATACATGGATCAGAGTGCAAATGCAATGACAGTTATTTTCAAGGACTACGTTACTTACAACATCTGTTTTCACATCCCAAATAGAAGGCTGTAGACAAGAAAAACCCAAGATCCTTAGATTTAGAAATGTCTTTGCAGAGCTTCTTGAGCACCTAAATATGCCTTAAACTAAACTGTTACTTCATGTAATAATGTTATCACTTTTAATTATGACATATAACCTGCAGTGTCTGTCTTATAGGCTTTTTTGTTTTGTTTTCTTTTGAAGAACATAGAAGTTCAGAAACTGCTCATATAAAGAACAGAAATACTGGTTGTATCCCTATATGGAATTATAATGATTTTATATTCTTTGATGTCTTTTGAAAATCTTGCGTAAGCAAAATACGAAAGCAGAAATCCAGTCAGTCCTCATAAAAAGCTTAGGGTTACAGTGATATTTAGAAAATGCTTAATTTTCTTCTTGCAGCATTTCTTCTATTTCTTTATCCCAGTTTTCATCACGTTTTTCTGATTCTGTCACCACCTCATACTCTTGAAGCTCTTGTTGCAATTCCTTTTCCCAATCAGCAGTTTCTTCTACAAAAGATAAATATGCGTGAGAACTAACTTAATAGAATGTTGCTTATTTATGTTAAACTAGATGAATTTGCACTGAATCTCTCTTATATCCCCCAGACTTTATGGATAATTCACCTTCAAAACTAGAGAAACTTCAAGATCAGATCACACATAAGAATTAAGATAGGAGTCTATACTTCTATTTGCATACTATAATAAAGACATAAGAAGCAAATACGCAGCTTAGTTGTAACAGTCGTAGCTTTGCAAGCTCATTTTTCAGTCTGCTATCAACTGAATCTCCCTTTGTACTTTTAAATCTCCAGAAAAAAAATTTCACTTCCTAAGTCTGTGGATATACTGTCATGGGAGAGAAAATTAATCAAGATCAAAACCTGGGGATAATTAACACTGGATAATTTAAAAAAGAAGCAGGTATTCTCCTCACTGACATCTGTAGCTATGCAAGCTCACTTAATCAAGGTTAAAGGTAATCATATTTCATACTTCAGGGCAAAAAATGAG